TTGAACAATTATTTCTAGGATGATAATATGTAATCCATTAACTTGTGATTTCCTACTGTTCATTTTTTTTTCTGTAAATCTGTATAACTTGTACCCTTTCTCTGCTTTTTTTTCTTTTCTCCTTAAATAAAATTTAAAAAATTTCTTTAAAAAAAAAAAAAAAAGAAGGAAGTAAAAAAGAAGAGCTGAACTGAGGGAAAGGGAATCCTCAAAACTATTGTGAAAGATCAGAGGATGACAGCTTGGTATATAAAACGACCAATTCAGATTTCAGAGCAGGCCAGAATGTTCTGAAAATTATCCCCCAAAAGATGGAACTTTTGGAACACTTAAGGCCAGGTGTGGCAGCACATCCCTGTAACTCCAACTACTTGGGAAAATGTGGCAGGAGGACTTGCATTTTGAGGCCGTTTAGTAAGACCCTGCCTCAAAATAAAAAGAATAGGTCAAGAGGCAAGCACTCCCTGTGAACCAGCGCCATGTGCAGGCTGCCAGTGCCTGGGGGATGGCCAGCCTTTTCCTGTGAGTCAGTGCCATTCATGGACTGTGGAAGAAGAGAACAAGAAGTCACCAAGAAGCAAGCCCTCTCTGTGAATCAACGCCATGCATGGGCCATCACTGCTGGCAGGGGACAGCCAGACCCCAGCCCCTTCCAGTGCATGGGCTAAGAAACAAGAAAAGCCAAACCATTCTATACCAGGTAAGCAACCTGGAGAAGCACAGGCTATGATGATCGTTATTAAGGTCAAATGCAATTTTATGCTTGTGTTGTTCGGTGTTTCACTGACTTTGCAGGTCTAGGGCTGGTGGTCTGACCATCTATTCAGAGAATAATGGTATGCCATATGCATCTCTGGGGAATCTCAGGTGGTAGTCATTTTTAATTCCCTATTTTCTTGTTTTGAAGTCCTGTATCATTTTAATTATTTTGTTGGGTTGGGTTTTATTCTGTTTTGTTCAATTTTTTTATATCCAATAGTGTGAGCAGCTATTTTAAAGACAGCAAGATATATTATGGTAGCCATTTTGGATTTACTATCGCTCTGTTTTGAAGCTCTTTATTGCATTCATTGTTTTGTTTTTATTGGTTCTACTCTGTTGTTTTATTTTTATTATGTCTGAAGGCATCTGAAGTTATTATGAAGACAACAAGAGGCATTATGGTAACCATTGTTTATTTCCTATTGTTTTGAAGTCCTGTGTCACTTACACTGGTTTGTTTTGATTGGCTTTATTGTTTTATTTATTTATTGGTACTGGGGATTGAACTCATGACCTTGCACTTGCCAGGCATATACTTGTGCCACTGTGCTAAATCTGTAGGCCTATTCTGTTTTATTTTGGTTGGTTTTATTCTCTTTAAAAAAAAAGAATAAAAAAATAAACAAAAGGGCTGGCATATAGCTTAGTGTGAGACCCTGGATTTAATCCTCAGTACTGCAAAAACAAAACCAGTAAAGAACTTAAACAATTGGGCCAAGAATTTGAGACAGAATTCGGAGTTAAGAACGTAGAAATCTAAGCAAATAAAAAAGATTGTTAGGACCAGGGATATGGTTCAGTGGCACAGTACCTGCCTGAAAAGTGTGAGGTCATGAGTTTGATTTCTGGAACAAAAAAAAAAAAAAATGGTAGGCAACAGAAAAAGAACTTCTCCAAGTTTTGGTGTCCAGACCCTGGAACATAACAACATGAGGAAGAGAAGCAGGAGGGAAATGGAAAAGTTTTGTTTTCCTTTTTGCATTTTAACAAAAGTTTATTTACAAAAACAAGTGTCGTATCTGAACAAGAGACTGGGTGTGGAATTTTCTTTTTTGTATTTTAAAGGGAATAAAACAGAACAGTAAAATGAAACAAAACAATGATAGAATAATAGGAAACCTACAATCATTACTATATTGCATATCATTATCCTCTTAAATAGCTGCTCAGGTTACTGGCCCTAGGTTTGCAAAATCAATTAATCAACACATCATGTTGCTTCCCTGCTTCAGTTATCATCTCAGCCCATGTCATGTCTGGTTGCTTATGGATGGTGGGGGAGGAGGGTTTAGGAGGCAGAGGCAGCTTCCTTGCTGGTTCTCCCTGGCCAGCAGGGCCTCCGCTGGTGCACAACGGGTAGAAGCTGCATGGCTGCTTCTTTGCTGCTTCTCCATGGTCAGCTGGGCCCTGGTTTTTTTCTGGATTCCTGAATTATCTCTCTCTATCTCTCTAAGTCTCAGTTTAGATCCTTCCTGTGTCCATGGGGCCCTTTTCCTTCCTGCTTCTCTTCCAGGGTCCGGACACCAAAACTTGGGGAGGTTCTTTTTCTGCTGCCTATTACTCTGCCATTTTTCCAGAAGTCAAGTTTTTAATTTTAGATGTAACATAAAAAGAATTAGGATTGGTTATTTATATGTAAAACTCCCTATAATGAATGTAGTCATTATGTATTGCAAACATGTGCTAATGAAAATAAAAAACAAAAATCCTCAAAATTTTAGATATAACAAAAAATTGGGCAAGAAGAAAAAGTAATTATAGTATGAGAAGTTTAATTATAAATAGCATTTATGCAACAAAAATCCTAAGGGTGTGTTTTTTACTTTTCGTTACTTTTATAGACTTCCTAACAATAAGTAAGTTCTCCATTTTAGTAATATTGAGATTTTTGAAAGAAGGCATTTTCTACAAAGGCATTTTCTCTAAAGTTCTCAGAATATTTAATATCATTTGACCTAAGGCATTTGACAGCATGGAAAATAAAATCTCAGATTATCAGTAAAGCTCTGATCTGTGTGAGCTGAGATAGGATACTTAATTTTGCCAATTCCTTACAAAGTGAGGATTGTGGTCAGGTGTGGTAGTATACACCTATAGATCCACTGCTTGGGAGTCTGAGGCAGGAGGATCAGGAGTTCAAGACCAGCCTGGGCTACATAGCAAGACCTCGTCTCAACACAAAATGAGTAAAAAGAGAAAATAGACAAAGTAGGGTGACAGCAAATCATAACACATATCGCATACAGTAGGCATCCATATATTGCCTTTTTTTGATACTGGAGATCGAACTCATGACCTCACACTTGCCAGGCAGACGCTTATATCTTGCCATTTTTGTCAGCCATCTTAGTTGTAGAATGTTGGACCAAGGATATTGTAAAACAAGGAATACAACTTTGACCTGAGTTTATGGGGTAGTTGTACATCTGAAACTTAGGTGTTAGCAGCCTGGCACTCTCATAAGCAGACTAAGTAAATATGATATAACTGACAACTCTATATAAACAATATCGAGGAGAAAATGCTCTGAGGTACAAAAGATGACTGAGGGAATAAACCAGACAGTAAATCAACTCTCAGAGGGACCATGAGTTGTGCACAACTCTGCTTTACAGCAGCGACCTAAAAGAGACACAGATTTTGATCTGAAGTATCCACCCTGCTTGACATTACAGGAAGCCTTGGACAACAAGGCAGTGTTCCAGGTCTTTCCCTAACCCTAACAAAACAAAGAATTTTAGCCGCTAGAGTGCATCAGGTCCATCAGTTCCAGGGGTTGGTTAGTTACTAATAGTTTGAATGGTAAAGAGAAAAAGTCATTAGCAATAATCAACATGCCTCCAGTGCTTAAGATTCTCCACTGTCCTAAGGCATTTTTACATGAATCATCCCTTTTAATCTTCATAACAACTCTAAATCCTCTTATCCTCAAATTACAGATAAAAAACAGAGACTCAGCTGGGTGTGGTGGCACACATTGGTAATGCCAGCACTCTGGGGGGCTGAGACAGGAGGACTCCAAGTTTGAGACTAGGTTGAGCAACTTTATACCCTAGTGAGACACTCTCTAAAATTAAAAAATAAAAAAGAGCTGAGGTACAGCTCAGTATGAAGGCCCAGGGTACAATTCCCAGCACTACAAAATAAAATGGCCAGAGAGGTTATGTAAGTTACCCAAGGTTACAGTCAACCAATTGGTTGAGCTAGAGTTCAACTCAGATTAGCCAGCCTCTAAAGACTTTCAGACATCTAACTGCAATGTTAACATACACCAAACATAGTCTTTGGTTTTGGGTTTTCTCACTAGCCATAACATTGTTCGGGCCATATGTTAGCGTATGATTTTCAAATAAATGTTCTGGAAAATGTGCAAAGGTCAAGCTATTGTTCTTCTAAGATGTGCTGGGTTAGCGCCTTTAAACCATCACCTCTTTCTGGAATTAGGGTTCAGTCATTCAAATATACTTAACTACTAATGTTCTAATGGAGAGGAAATAATTTTGGAGCTAGTTTAGATTCTCTGTGCCTGCTGTGTTAAGCATAGAATAAACGTTTGGTGACTGGATAGAAGACACAGTCTTTTCCAGTTTCACCCAGGCATCATACAAAAGATGTCAAGACCACTAGGGCAAACTCTGTCAACATTCTTCTGTCACAAGGCTGGAAGAATCTGCTCTTGATGTAGGTCCAACTTGAGAAACACTCAGCGGTCACTTCCTCACGCCAGACTTTCCAATTTGAGGCCATGTCGCCACTTGAGAATGCAAAGAAATTCAGGAGCATAAGTACACTCCAGACCGGGTCTGCAGTAGCTGTGGCGCAGCCCATTTCCATCTTGGCGCCAGTGAGGCGAAGGCCGCGCTCAGTGAAGGGTGGATGGGCCTGTCATGACAGCGCAGGAATTCCGCCACGGCTGAGGATTTTATGGACTGGACTGAAGGGTGGGAAGGGGCGCCGCCCACTTGATACACTCACCCTGCCTCGCCGGTAGCCAGGAGATGCAGGTGCATCTACGCCCAGGGCTTCAACACCGTGAAACCATCCAGCAATCAGCATCCGCGCACGCGCAGCACCTCCAAGCCGCTCGTCGTCGGCGCACGCGCAGTGCGTTCTCGCGCACTCCTCCCGGCCCGCCGGCTCCGCCTTTGCAAGCCCCGCCTGGCCCCCGTGAGCTGAACGCCCCATATCCGGGTTCCCGCCGCCGCCGCCGCTGCCGCCGCCTCTGCTGCCTGGCTCATTCAGCCTTGCTGCCAGTGGTGTGATTTCCCACCAAGATGGCGGCCGTGGGACGAGTCGGCTCGTTCGGTTCCTCTCCGCCGGGATTAGCTTCGACTTACGCGGGCGGCCCCTTGGCTAACGAGCTAGCGTCCGGCAACGGCGGCGCCGCAGCAGGGGACGAAGAAGACGGGCAGAACCTTTGGTAACGACCCCACCCTTCCCTGGGTCCCCCCGGTCTCCCGGCCTGCGGACGCCCCGCGATCGCGCCCCCGTGGGAGCCCGGCGCCGGCCTGGCCGCTGAGTACTCAGCCGACCCCGCCCAGGCGCGCCGAGGCGGGCAGGTCTCTGCAGACCCCAGCTCTGGCCTCTGGCTTGGGGCTCAAGCCTGCGCTTTGCTCCCCGTTAGGTCCTGCATCCTCAGCGAGGTCTCCACCCGCTCGCGCTCCAAGCTCCCCGCGGGGAAGAACGTGCTGCTGCTAGGTAAGTGTTCCGTACGTCGCGGCGCTCCGCCCGGCCCCACCCCGGGCCAGGGTCCAGTCCACCGGCAAGCTCGCATGATGTCTTTGTGCTGACCGCCCGGCGCGGCTGTGCCCCGCCTCCCGACCTGTCGCTGACAGCTGGGGAACTCGGGAAGCCGGGTCCTCTGCCGGGACCCTCGGGGACCCGCCCTCCTTCAGGTCTCTTCTTTCTCTGAAGGTGGCATTGGCCCTGTCACCTTCCCCAGGGAGGAACAGAATAGATGTCCATTGGAAGGATTCTGGTGGCCTGGGGTTTACCTAGAAAATAGGGACAGTTTTTTTGTTGTTGCTGTTTTGTTGTCGTTTTTAAATAACAAATGTGGGTAGCAGAAGCCTCGTTCTGAGAGCTGTAGAACAAATGGCATACCATTAATATTTAATAGCTGATTCTTTGTATAATTGACAGAGAAGCTACAACTGAGACCTGTTAGTCCTGGTAAATGTGCTTATTTGATTCAGCGTTCTCGGGTACAGTGTGCTCGCGTTACAATTGCCTTTTTTAAAACTGTCACTTGATTCTGGAATTTGTAAAATGCAGTAAAACACCTTTTTAGTTTGGTCCCTTCAACAAAATGCATAGAAAAAAGAGAAATGGCCTAATATTTCAATTTCTCTGATTGTTCTGTATCCCCTCAGTTCTCTGGAAGGTTTGTGGTTTTACATGTACTGCCTGGGGGTGGAATCAGCGCACCATGGGAGAGCAGTTCGCAGGTTCATATTTTCACAGGCTCAGCTTCTGAATCATTTACAATAGAGATACCTCCATATTTAAAATTTTTTTATCAATTTCTTTTAAATGCAGGAAATTTAAATTTGAATTAGAATGCTTAAATGTTAAAACTTTGATATTTGTGTCAGTACTTTTGTTACGTACGTCTAAAAATAGGCAACAAAGAAATGCTATTTGACAGGATCCACAGTTTAACTGGAATGATTAAATTAGAAGAAAATTGCTTATTTTCTGTATATATGAACTACCAATCTAGAATATAATTAATTCTTTACCTTCTTTAAAGCTACATAGAGCTAGATGAAAAATTACCTTGTTACCTTTGTTTTTAATGTGGTTGAAAGTACCTAGTATAGATTATTCCAGAGTGAGTGAAATTTTAAGCAAGTTACTTAAGATGTATAAACCTCAGTTTCTTCATCTTTAAAATGGATGTTGTAGAAATAATGCCTGCCTCCTGGGATTGAGGGAGGATTAAATGGGATAATGTTTGTAAAGTAAGGACAGCACAATGACTTTTGATAGATTTATCAGAACAATTAGAAAACATTTTTCAGGACTTTAAAAATTGAGTCAGTGCCTACATAAATAATATTGTTAATGCAGAGATGAATTAGAATCTAAAATTTTAAAAAATGAGAAATGTTAACTTACTAATTTAAGCAAATTGTTAATTACTAAGCAAAAATAGATTTAGACTATATAACCTCATTGAAATAGGCTGTGTTTAATTGCTCTAAGTTAAATAAGACTTCTTTTTCAAGTACTGCAGTTGTAGAGATAAGATTTCTGAATTTTGTTTTCCTTTGATAAAATCTCTCCAGTTATTTTTGTGTGTGAGCTATCACATCGGCGGTTAAAGATGGTACTATTGTAAAACAAAGGTGGCAGTACTGTTCATTTTTTGGTGTATCTGATTTGCTCTGACTTTTTGCCCATGTGTTTATTTTTTTAATACTCCTTTGACTCCAGGTCAATACATAAGACTGAATGTACTTAGAGGTCCCTGACTCCTCCACTCTTCTGCACTTAAAATAGATCAAATTTCCTTTTTTATGGACTAAATAGTTCAGAAAGCTCCATCTGGCATCAGGTTATATGAGCTTGAAATTTAATATATTTCTTTCAGTTCTACTGGAGTTTTCATAAAATCCTTTTCTGCTTTGGAAGAAGATAACTGATTTTTTTATCCTGATTACAAAAGTAGGGTGAATTTTTCTGAAATACTTTTAAGATTTCTTAAAAGACATTTTACCATTGCATGTTATGGCAGTATTCAATCTGTGATGGTAGAGGAAAAAAATATACAAGTAGGAATTGTGGTTTTCTTTATGAGTTGGAGAGTGCCAACAAGGAGATGCTTGACCCTAATAATGTCGTTCACAAATGATAATAGTCTCTGAAGTCCTGTATAGGTCTGTGTATCCTCTCAAACACACACACTCATGCACAGACAGCAATTTTGCCTTAACTTGCTATATGATCTCTTCTCACTGGGGGAAAGGAGTCAGGACTGGGGATATATTTTATATATATATATATATATATATATATATGCCATTCTCAAAGCATTTTTCTACAAATCTCCCTCTTACTCCTTTTCCCTTTCCAATCTAGGAAATGGGTGTTACCATAATTTATAGATGAGGTAATGAATTTCAGAGACTAGCTAAGTGTGTTTTCCGAGGTCATACTACCCTAAGGAATCTGTATTCTGTGACTCTGGCATGGCCTTCCAATTTATTAGAAATCTCTGCAAGGCAGAGAGTGTCATGTACAAAACTTTTCATACTCAGTGATTATCTTTGACTAGAAGTGCTGGTAATTATTTCAATGGAAAAGTCTAAATATTTACTGGATTCTGGGTTTTGTTTTGTTTTGTTTGTAGTACTAGGGATTAAACCTAGGACCTTTGCACATCCCCAGCTTTTTATTTTATTTTATTTTTAATTTTTTTTAAATTTTGCAACAAGGTCTCACTAAGATGCTAAGTTGCCTAGGTTGGGCTTGACATTGCAGTCCTTCTGCCTCAGCCTCCCAGAGTGCTGAGATTACAGGCATGCAACTTCATCCATGCTGACACTTGGGTTTGGCAGTCATTTCATCTACTTAGGCCTGACTCCTACTGAAATCCAGAAGCATTATGGCATTAGTAGTTAATCATTCTTTCTTGAAAGACTTAGTGAACAAGTTTCAGTAAACTTTGATATTGAAGGATTTTTGTGCATGTATTTTAAATAGTTTAACTCATAAGTTATCTGTTTAAGAGATTATCCCTCAATTTTTATTTTAATTGACTTTAATTATATTTTAATAGCTACCTTAAGTGCAGTTTTTCATATCTTGATTACTTTCTTATATTCAGGTAAGAAAATTCTCTAATGAAAATAACAGTAATATCTAACATTGAGCAATGTACCAGTCATGTAAGAATTGTTTACATACTTTATCACCGTAAAGATCAGGAAACAGACACAAAGCTTTTCAGTAAATTGCCATAGGGTTACATACTTGGAAAGAGGCAAAACCAGTATTCAAAATTGTGTGGCCCAGATCTAGACACAGAACCCTTCATCTCTGTGCTGGACTATATCTCCCTAAAGGAAAAGAACTTTCTTTGTAGGACAGGTAAAGAGTATGTTTAGTAGTTATTAAGGAATTTTGACAGTGAGTATCTCTTTCAGTGCAAAAAATTTATTGATTTAAATGAATTGAATTCATTGTCACCTAAGATACGGAGGTAATCATGGTCCCCAACATACTGCCTCACTTTATAGAGAGGACATCAGTATAACTTTCTGGTTTGCAGTGTGAATTACTGAAAACTGGCCCTTTGGCCTTGTCTGTCTCATCTGCAAATTAAAACTGTTAGGATTCAGGAATCTGCAAAACCTTAGTCTGGTATGGCATTCTGTATTTTCTAAAAAATTCTAAACCTCGTGTTTAAATATTTTTAAAGAACTGTTGCAAGGCATACTGGTATTAAAATTGACTTAAATTAATAAAATATTCCCCTAAAGACTGGACTGTTGAATTCCTCCCAAGGAAGAAATCCAGTGTCTGCATATTGTTTCTTTCCTTGAAGGCGTTATTCCAAGGGTACAGCAGAAAAAGCCTCATAAAACACTGTCACAAAGAAGTATATTATTTAAGTCTTTTTTAAAAACTCAGGCATAAGACTAGCCTCTTGTGCTTGAGTTTGTAAGTAAGAAAACCTCAAGCCTGGAACTAAAAATCTGTTTAGAGAAGTGACTTGTAACTGTAAAAGCAATGCTTGGTTTTCTATATGAGGGCTGATTTTAAAAATAATGAAGATACTTATAAGGAATGTTTATGTGCTTAAAAATAATGAAGATACTTTATCTTCTGCGGAGCTGGTATTAAAGATCCAGATTCTATGACTTGTGGGAAACACATATTTTTTGAGTTATGTTACTGCTTTTTCTGGCATGATTGGTTATGGGAATCTGATGCCAAGAATAAAATGATGCAAGGAATAGACTACCACATATATGATATAGACTTGTTTTTCAAAAGATTAACATGAAATTATGTGTTTATCCTATATTGCTACCCCTAAAAATGTACAAAGTGTAAAATGTTTTGAGAGTCAGATGGCATATTGGTATTTTGTAATGGTCGGGGATAGCAAACTTTATATGGGGCCAAGTAATTAGTACTTTGCAAATCATATGGTTTTGGTTGCAACTCCTCAATTCTACTTTTATTCCAAAACAGCCACAAAATGAATTGAGCGTGGCAGTGTTCTGCTAAAACTTTGTTTATAAAAATAAAGAAGCAGGCCAGTTTGGACCTGTGACTTGAAGTTTGTGAATCCCTGCTTTAGGTTATTGTGGTCATTCTATCAGTAAGCACAGATGCCAATTAGTAGAGCTCTTTGCTTAGTAGGATATGGTATTTGGCACATAATAGGTGCTCAGTGAGTATGTTTTGGATGATTGGTGATCAGTTTTTATTTAAAATATCATTGCTATTTTAGGAAAAACACAATTGAATATAAATTTAAGAATTAAGGAATGTTTATGTGCTATTTCCTGCCAGTCAAAAACAAATAACAGGGGCTGGGGATTTAGCTCAGCCGCATAAGCGCCTGCCTTGCAAGCAGGCAGTCTTGAGTTCGATCCCTGGTACCAATAAAAAGGAAAAAGACAAAAAAAAAACAAAAAACAAATAACAGAGCTAGAAAAATTATAGATATAGACTGAGGGAAT